GGCCACTGTGCGCTCCCGCAGCTGTAAATTTCTGGCTCTAGTGCTTCCCACTTTTATACCCTAGAAAAGTCTTTCCAAGTTCCCAGGTCTGACAGATCCTGTGGCATCCTGGTCTCCACCCTTACGCTTTCTTCTCCCCTTCCCCAAATGAAGCAATAAGGCATTTGGCCCCACCACTTGGGCCTTTGGAGTCTACTTAACAGGTGAAAAAACTGTGGCACAGAAAGGCCAAGATCTGGGAGCAGTGAGAGCAGCTCTTGTCCTGCAAAACCTAATACCTTATAAGCAACAGTAGAGAGAGAAGGAAGAAACGCACCTTTATTAAGCACCTGCTACATGCCAGATGTTCTCCATATTTGAACTTCATGTTCATCAGGAGTGGTTGGTATTGTTGTCCCTCCTTTGCCAGATTAGGAGACTGAGGATCAGGAAGGGTGACCACTTCCCAGGAATACACAGCGAGTGAGTGTTGGAGTCCATTCACCCCCAGCCCCTGTGTCTGTCTGACTCCCTGGTAATCAGTGAGCCACGCTGCCCTCCCCTCACACCAGACCTTCCCTGGGCCTGCTCCACTGCCCATGAGAGTCCAGGGGGCTGGGGCTGTGGCTTTGATCTCAATTATCCATTCAAGGCACTCACTGGACTCTTCCCACATCTTGTATGTAACAGTCATTCCCAAAGTGGTCCCATTTTTTGTTATCTTTGTATAAGTCTTGTGGGTTGGGTCAGGTTGCTACTATCCTTGTGGAGAAACTGAGGCAGATAAGGCAGGAAATTGAGTCAAGTTTGTGCAAGCAGTTAACGAAAAGCTTACATCCTGTGGTTTGAAGCCAGGATGCTATGTCTGTGTTATGGCAGAAAGCAGGTGGATTTGGGCTCAGAGAGCCCTGGTTCAAATCCTGTAGCCCTAGGCAAGTCACCCCATATCCCCTGAACTTCAGTTTCTGCGTCTGTAAAATGAGGAGGATAATATCTCCCTCACAGGGCTACGGAGAGATGATGTTTGGGAATCTCAGCTCATAAACTCAGGTGCCCACACATCTTTCTTTCTGATTCATCTATAATGTAATTACCATTTCTAATGCCACTTTGCTCAGCAACAGGAGCTTCCCCACTTCTCCCTGGGGTTTCCTTTCTGTTCCAGGGGCTTCATTTGTGCCAAAGAGGCCGCCCTCTCCCTGTTTTGGGGTTTTTGGGGTTTTTTTCTTGTTTGTTTGTTTTGTATTGTTTGTTTTGAGACAGAGTCTTGCTTTGTTGCCCAGGCTAATGTGCAGTGGCATTGTCATAGCTCACTGCAACCTCAGGTTCCTGGGCTCAAGTGATCCTCCAGCCCCAACCTCCTAAGTAGCTGGGACTACAGGTGCATGCTACCATGCCTCGTTAATTTTTCTATTTTTGGTAGAGAGAAGGTCTTGTTCTTGCTCAGGCTGGTCTCAAACTCCTGGCTTCAAGCAATCCTTCTGCCTCGGCCTCCCAGAGTGCTAGGATTACAGGTGTGAACAACCGCACCCGGCCTGTTTTTTGTTTAAGACAGGGTCTTGTTCTGTCACCCGGGCTGGAATGCAGTGGCACGATCATAGGTCACTGCAGACTCAAACTGCTGGGCTCAAGTGATCCTCCTGCCTCAGCCTCCCGAGTAGCTGGGACTACAGGCGCATGCCACCTCCCACGGCTAATTTTCTGTCCCTGTTTTTGACTTGCAATACAGAGACGTCCACGTGCCATCTGGCTTCCAGATCGTCAAGACACTGTACTTCCCTCCTGTCTGAAAGGCCACTTGGATTTAGCATTTGCTTTTAACTCTCTCGTTAGATACACAGCATTGTTCTGTTGTTCGTGGATTCCTGGGGCCTCAGGCAAGACTGTGCAGGGGGACTGCCCAGACCCATCTGCCTGGACCCACCTAGACCCTCCCATTAACCCTCTCTCCCTGGGGTCTTGTCATCTCTCCCAGCTTTGGGAGGGAACGTGGGCACAAACACCCTCTGTTCTTTTTATTTATTTATTATTAATTAATCAATTTATTTCTGAGACAGGGTCTCACTCTGTCGCCCGGGCTAGAGTGCAGAGTGTCGCCATCATAGCTCACTGCAACCTCAAACTTCTGGGCTCAAGTGATCCTCCTGCCTCAGCCCCGCAAGTAGCTGGGACTACAGGTGCTCACCACCATGCCTGGCTAATTTTTCTATTTTTAGTAGAGATGGGGTCTCACTCTTGCTCAGTCCAGTCTTGAACTCCTGAGCTCAAGCTATCCTCCTGCCTAAGCCTCCCAGGGTGCTAGGATTACAGGCGTGAGCCACCGCGCCGGGCCAATTTTTTTTTTTCTATTTTTAGTAGAGACGGGGTCTCGCTCTTGCTCAGGCCGGTCTCGAACTCCTGAGCTCAAACAATCCGCCCGCCTCGGCCTCCCAAAGAGCTAGGATTACAGGCGTAAGCCACCGCGCCTGGCCTCAAAAGCCTTTTTTTGCTTCAACTGTAAATGTCCTTCCTTGAGGCCGCGGGGGCTGAATGATCCGTGCCCTGACAGGGGAAGGGTCTCGGGGCATCAGGAAACAAGTGGAAGGACACACTGCTATCATTTGAAGACTGTTTTCCCACACTGGGGGTGTCACTGCTGTCTCCATGTGTTGCTCAGAAACTGTAGGTGGTGCCCCTGGCTTCCTACAGTGGAGGGAAGGGGCTTCCTCAACAGTCCTCCCCCACCCCTGCGTTGAGAGTAAAGCCATGTCTGGGCTTTTGCCTGCAAAACACAGGCCAAGAGTGTTTTGTCTGGTATTTCTGGGCTGATGAACAAACCTAGCAATATTTGTTCTGAGGACGGACACTTCATCGGGTCTGACTTCTGGACCTAAAACTCAGGGCCCAGGCAGGGGGGACTTGTACACCTTTCAGAGCTAGGCTTTATTGTGGGTGAGGACGGCATGTCCACAGGGCCCGGGGGAAAGGTTTTTAGGGAAGCAGAAGCCTGGCTCTGAAGGAGGCTTAAGGTCCCAAGATATAGAATCTCCTTTCGATCAACAGTAGGCAGCTACAGGACCCTCAAGCCTGGCATGTGAAGGGTTGGCTGGATTCGTAGTTAGCTGAATTCATGGGCGGCAGCCTATTCTGTAAGGAGAAGAGACAGCATCAGTCACCAATGTGTCCCCCTTTCCAACCCCAGGTCCACACTAAAGGGAAACTCTCAACCACCCATGCCCACCAAGGGCTAGTGCCAGGAGCATTCACAGGAAAACTCTTTGATATTTAATTTTTCGCTTCTTGATGTCTTCCATTCACCAGACGGTGAGCTCCAGGAGGGCAGGGACTGTAACACTTTATCTGTTACTGCAGTGGGCATGGTCTCGGGTCAGGGGTAGGGCCATGCTCCCTACTGGATTGGGTGGAGATCTTGGAAAAAGCTAGAATCTCTGGTAACCTGAAAATTTGGGTGACTCGGCAGGCACAGCCTGCTTCGTAGGGGCCCCCTCTGCTGTCCCAGCTCTCCTGGGGGACAGTAATGGTCATCAGACAGTAATGGTATAAGGTCACCTGTAAAGCATTCTCTACAGCACCTGCGGACACCCCCCCAGCAGGCCTCCCTGGGGGCTCCAGGGGTGGAGGTACCTGTTTTAGCCAATTTCCAATGCTGAAGAGTCCTCCTTGGATGGACCAGAAACTCACCCATGAGGCTTTTCAACAGTTTCACATCCAACCGCCCGAGGATTTCACAGATTAGAGGACATACCTGAGCCACCAGCACAGAGAGAAGGGTTAGGCCAAGGGCTGGGAAAGGAAAACCGGAGTGCCTGCGGCTGGAAGCTTCTATTCCACTGGATTTCCCACAGGAATCATAGCCGGAACTCCCTTGTATTGAGTTTACCAACTCCCCGCTAAATGCCATGCATAGCACTTCCCTGAATCCTCGTGACAATGACGTGAGATGGGGACTGTGATGGTTCCCAGGCTACAGATGGTGACATTGAGGCTCAGAGAAGCTAAGTCTCTTGCCCAAGAGATACACTGGCAAAACCGATGGCAAAACCGAAATT